CGTTCTTACTTCTCTTCTTCTCTCTCTCTCTCTCTCTCTCTCTCTCTCTCTCTCTCTCTCTCTCTCTCTCTCTCTCTCTCTCTTCCCTCCCTCCTTTCCCTATATATTTTATCATGTATAATATAATACAATCGACAATCGTATGTAAACTTTAATCGAAACATGCGAAACTTGTTAGTTTGATACGAAATTATTGAATCGTCGATTTCGTTATAAATAACGAAAAGTTAACCAGTATAAAAATAAAATCGGTATGAAAATAATATTGGGACAAAAATTGCCGTTATACATTATTTTCGAAACATAATTTTTTTTAATATTGCAAATGATAATGATAATAATAATTGTAGAATCATTTTTGAAAGGATGCGTGGTTATACGCATTTAGTCTTCGTATGTATATACATACATAGGTAAGTAGTAGGAGTATAAGTGGAAGGAATACGGATAGAATACGGCGTGGATGCGGACACGGACGTACATGTGCACTTACACACACCACACCAAGCTAGTCCGCATTCCTCGAGTGGAACAACCGGTACATGGTCCAGTGACTCTCAAGTCGCATCTCTCCAAGATGTATTCCAACACATCGGAGAGATGGACTCGTTATGCAACAGAAGACGAGAGTCAGTGGCCTAGTGGATTCGCGGAAGGTGAGCTGTCCTTCCGGGTCCTCCTCTCTTCTTTTTTTTTTTCACGACTACTCTTTTCTCTTTTTACTCGTTTCCTTTCTTTTCATTTTGTTTCGTTTCGTTTCGTTTCACCACTTTCACATAAATACAACGGTTATATACAGTTTTCTGATAAATTGAAATCGAAAGTCTTATTATCCGTAAGGCGAAATAAAAATGAAACATTTATTTTTCTTCCCTATATATTTTTTATTTATTGTATTTATATCTCTTATATATATGTCTATATTTTTAATTTAGAGATAATATGCATAGATATAAAAATCGATTCTTTCTTAAATATTTTATATTTTATATTTTATATTTTTAATCTTTTTTTCTTTTTTCTGTAATTTTTCATCTTTTTCTATTTTTTTTTTTTTTTTTGATCTTTTTAAATTGATAATAATCAAACTTAATAATAAAGCTAATATGTCATACAGTTTCTTTCTCGTATTCGTTCATAGCTCAAAAAAATCAAAAGCATTGAAAAATTATACACGATACAATTAAAACATGATATAACAATAATTTTTTCTACCAATTTTTTTTTTATATTTTCAAAACGACGTACGAACCACGTGTTCTTGTAAATCTCGAAGAGAGAAAATTATTTTCGAAACTAAATTTCTACTATCATACTTCAAGCTAAGTTTAAACCAGAGTTTCTGATTTATGTAGACCCCATGGGGAGTTCGGTTGCCAGGTCTCTCTACACACCTTCTTTATCCTCCGCGCACACGCATATATCCATTTATCTATGTGTTTCTACACTAATACCGTTCATATATGTAGATACACAGAAGTATATACATACGTACTTATATCTATTCCCGGTGCAATGCTGTAACGATATACATATATACAAGACACATAGTACTAGTACATAATTATTCTATTAGATATATATGCGTCTATGAAACGCATCATAGCATATAAATATAAATACTGAGTGTATGCACTAATCACTAAAAATTTTTATTAACGGAGCAAAAATTTAATTGTAATAAAAAAGTGTAAATGAAATTATGTAATTCTATATCATAATGTTAGTTTGTTCTATATCATAATATATATATATATATGTATATATATTTTTTTAAATATCTATGGGATAAAGAAATACTATAATAAATTTGTATTTTATTTTACAAAAATAATTAATAATATTATCTTTACATACAGAAATTTTTTCTTTTAAATCAATCGGATAATTTAAAAATTCCAATTTTTTTAATGATTTTTATTTAATTAAAAAATAATACTTTTTAATGTGACATTTAACGAATCATTCAAGTTTCAAAGATAATCCATCAAACTTCAATAAATATTAAAATTACAAAAGAAAAAAAATTGTATTACAATCATCGCGATTAATAATTTATAATTTTTTTTTTAAATATAATAAATTTAATTCACAAAGGTATATGCATAATAGAAAATTAAATTGCTCGTAAAATTGAAATTTTAAGGAAAATGATATAATATTGGATATTAAGTAGTTGTCATCGATCAACTAGCGGAAGAGTAAGGTTAACACCCTTTACTGGTCTTAAAAGCGTCTTAACTCAGTTTAGCTGGTGACTTACGAGAATTTCAAGTATCGGAAGATTCGTATATTTACCATCATCACCACGGTTATCATTACCCTTATTTTTATTCCTTAAAAATTGTTCATATTTCTCTTTTTTTCTCTTTCAGCTACTTCTTTTATTTTATAATACGCTAATATATTCTTATATGATTTGAATGAATTAAAAATTTTAATTAAAATGATCTGATCGTATCATTTCTTTCTCTTTTAAAAAATTGATAATTCTATTATTAATAGAAAATATTTAAAATGAATAAAGAGATCTGACATATAAATCTATGAGGCAATAATATACACTTATATGTTAAATATATATATTGAATAACTACACCTAAATATAAATATATTATACGCACATGATGTAAAAAAGTGCACGATACCGAGCACACGTAGACAACAAGATACAGTCCCGAAGATCCAGCGACCATGGTCAGATTAATGAAGCTCATACAAACAGTGATTCTCAATCGTTAATCGCCATTTCGCCAATTTACTTCGATATTTATTTATATATCGAACATTTTTTCATAATAGAAATCTAATTACAAATAAATTCACTATTACAATTAATAATGCAATATATGTATATATGTATATACAAAAATATATATATATAAATCTGTATAAATTTATATCTATGTTATATTAATATATTACTTATATCGCGTTAGTTTTATCGTTAATAAAATTTCATCATCGTTCAAGAATAACTTCACAATTTTTAACTTATTCTTCTTATTCTTTTTTTCGATTTTAAAAACATTTTAAAATATCTAAAATAGAATTCTCTAACAATCTATATTTTCTAAATACAATTAAATATATTCCTTTCTTCGATTAATCTGCATTACGATTACATTTTGAAAATATGAATTAAATCAACTTCTATTATTTGACATGTATATATATATGTATATCTTTCAATTGAATAAATAACGGAATGATAAAATGATAAAAATGCGAAAATAGAAAAGTACAGAAATAAATAAATAAATGAAAAAAAAATTAATTGTATTTATGTTATCTATATATATATATATATATATATATATATATATATATATATATATATATATATATATATAT